ATATCATAATAACAGATTGTTGACCTATTCTCTAAGAGTTAAAAACTTCAAAGAGTTGACCATTTACATTGAAGGACAGATTTTTCAAGCAATTGCTCAGGTATATAAAGTGGGAAGACAACTACCTTGATGGCAGGGGCAGTGGGGCTTAAACATGCCAGTGAGGGTGAAGGGTGAGAGAGCAAGCAGTGGTCGACAGAAGAGAAGTCCATGTACACAGATGGAGGTCTCTGGTGTACCCTCGGGAGCAGGAAACTAAGAGAAAAGGAAACATTATGTTCTAGAGAACATCTTTTTAGGACTTCTGAGGGACAGTTTGGATAAGCTACAGAATTAGTATTAGCAGCTTGGTTTTTCTTTAGATTTCACATGTGAAACAACAAAACACAGAAAGCAACCTTCAGCACGTGTGCAAATTTACTAGGGAGTTTCCCCAGAGTTTGGAGGTGTAATTAACAAATAAAAATTGTACATATTTATGCTGTACCTGCACACATTGGGAAGAATTTAAATCAGCTAGGGAATCTTTTAAACATAGGAAAGCAAGAGTCTGAATAATCAAGGGGTTCCTGAGAAGTCACCTTGGCCTCTTGTCTCTCATGGGAGTCAGAAGATACAACCTACCAAAGGGAGATGGGACAGAATAATAACTCACTCCTATAGGTCATAACTGTCACCATCATGCAAGTGTCTATGAGCCTCTCAGGTGGCAGAAAGCTAAACTTAGTTTTCTTCTCTTGCTATTCAGAGGACAGAAAGTCTCTGGGCTGGGTCAGAGCCTGCCAGATCTTTATGACTTTGAATTCTGCTGAATCATGTTGCTTTAATCCTGGGGAAAGAACGATTTTTCCTAACAGAACACCTAGTCCAGTGTTCCCACATGGGTCCATTACCTTAGAAGGTTTTGATTCATTCCAGAACAGGAATCCATTCTTAGATCTTGACCCCAGGGCATGTATAAAGAGGTTCACTGTATTGCTCCAAGACTGGGAATTGATTAGTGGCTCTATCACTAATGGAATGGCGGGGGTGGGGGGGGGTGGGAAGGTGGTGGTGGGGGAAGCAAATATGCTGGATTTAGCATATTGAACACTAGGCAGCCAGAGAAGGCAAAGGACAAGATGCAAACAGTGTAACATAGTTAGGTTTCCAAGCCAATATGGAGTCAGGAAAGTAGATAACAGTGTGGAATTTTAATGGGGCACCATTTGCATAACTATGCATATGAAACAAAACTGTATGAAGGATGCTCACATCTTTAAAGGCAAATATTGAACATAATGCAGGCGTGGGAATTAGGGAAGAGGAGGAAACAAAATAAAAAAAGAAAAGAAAAGGTGTCTTGCACTGACTGAGGAAGACAAATGTCTTTTCTTTCTTGCGATTGTTTCTAACACATTTATAAGATATTTTCTTTGTTGTTTTGTATGGTCCCACCCCCACGGTATAACCCCTGCTTTCACTGTATTTGATGTATAATTTGTGGAGGGGAAGGGAAAAAACAAATTGTTTAAATAGGGATACAGGTAGACCCATTGCAACAAAGAGATGTACAAGATGTTATGTTGAAAAATGAACTTTACAACTTTGGCCGGGGTGCGAGGAGGAGGGGGGGAAGGGATGGGAAGGGGATACAAAGGAGGAGGCAACAATGCTTGATAAGAAATGTACTCATTACCGTGATCATGTAATTGTATCCCCTCTGTACGGTATTTTCACAATTAAAAAAATTCTGTTTTATGGTCAAAAAAAAAAAAAGAATTGAGGAGTATGACTTCTATGATTTAAATGTCCCCCTCTCAACTTAATCTCCCAATTCATATGGTATTTGAAGTGGGTCTTGGAAAATAACTAGACAAGGTTGGATATGCCCCCATGGTGGGACTGGTGGCTTGTAAAAAGATGGGGCAGCCGAGCTGGTGCATACTGCTTTGTCACCATGTGATGACCTCCACCATGTTAAGGTGTAGAAGATGGTGGACAGCCATGGTACCAATGCTCTTCCACTTCTCAGGTTCCAGAACCATGATCCAGAGACCCTCACATTCTTTATTCCGACTATGGTTATCCACTTACAGTAACAGCAGAAGAAACAAATGAACACAATCATTAACTAGAATTTCTGTGTCTAATCTTCAAATAAGAAAAAAAAATAGGGCAGGGAAGGTGGCTCAGTGGTAGAGTGCTTGCCTTGAATGCATGAGGCCCTGTGTTCAATTCCTCAGCATCACGTAAACAGAAAAGGCCAGAAATGGCACGGTAGCTCAAGTGGTAGAGTGCTAGCCCTGAACTGAAGAGCTGAGGGACAGCGCCAAGTCCCAGAGTGCAAGCCCCACAACCATCAAAAAAAAGAAAAGAAATGAAAAAGATTGGGAGCATTAAAAAGAAAGCATTTTAATGATTTAGAGGTTCAGCCAACTTAGGCCTGGTGATAGTCCAACATTATTAGAGCCATTGAATTCTCCTCCTTCCCATGTTCTCATCCACAGAATTTCCCGTAACAACTCTTGTTCAGTTCCTTTCACTCCCTTTCACTCCCCTCTGCTCTCTTCCCTCTCTCCCCCTTTCTGATTTTTGTTGAAACAGTGTTTCACTCTGTAGCCCAGGCTGACCTTGAAGGCAATCCTCCTGACTTAGCCTTCTCAGTAATCCCATTCTTAGCTCTTAGCAAATCTATTTTTTTACTTCTTTAATAATTTTCAGGAAGCACTAAGAATATTGAAGAGAATGGCACAGAAGACCAAATTGTTTTTACTCTGTAACTTATATGATTGCCTTCCTTTAGTTCATATCTTGTTTTTAGAATATGCTGAACACAGAGGTTCAACTTCATTTGTTTTGTTTACCATTTACTAACTATTCACTATGGGGGAAAATATTGTGCCCAGCAATCTCAGTGAAATCGGTTCTCATTTTCTAGAAGAATAAAGCACAGAGAGGTTGTGGATCTTTCCCCATGATAAATGCAATATGTCATGAGTGTATCCCTGTGATGAGGACCTTCATCAGTCATCCAAAAGATATATGTCTCATATTGGGATGCTATAAGATATGTCGGTTGGCATCCAAGCAGAATTCCTTATTGATCACCTGCAATGTCTCATAAATTTTGCTTTTGGGATTTGGGAACATATTTGGATTCCAAGAACTTAGTACTCCTTTCCATGGGCCACATAAAGGTAGCTCCTAATTCATCTTGAGTCTCCAGGGATCTCTGTTACAAAGATGTGCTCTGGAAACAGGGGACACTAGAGCAAATCTCTGGCCAGTTACTTTGTGTCCATTATTCTTGTTTACAGTGCATTCAAGTCTGTGGATGTGCAACTGTGTGATTAATTGGCTTTTACACAGGAATTATCTGTCCATAAATCATTCCCTTGTATTTTAGACAATATCTATAAATAACTGAAAAGCACCTGTACATTAACCTAGTTTAAAAAAAACACATAACACCACCATGTATCTAAATGTCTCAAGTAAAAATAGCCAGTGAGAAGCAATGTCAGTGAAGGGTGAATTTGCAACTTCCTCCAAGTGAAATTACATTGCTTCTCCATAGCATTGCTTTGTAGGACACCAAGTGTGCCACACAAGCATCTTCACTCACCTTTCTAATGTTAAATCTTTCCTGATGCACACATTACCTGCCTTTAATTGAAAATTCAAGAGAGCAACCTCCTTATGAGAAAATCAATTAAGTTGGGCTGAACACAACTCAGAGATCCTATCCGAAGGAACAAGCCAGGCATGGTGGTGCATGTCAGTAATCCAAGATATTGGGAGAACCACAGCTTAATGCTGGCATTAGCAGAGGGCACAAGAACCTATCTGAAAAATAACTAAAGCAAAAAGGACTCATGTGGTAGAACAGCTGTTTGTTGTGAGTTCAAAATCACTATCAAAACAAATATATCAACTCAGATACAAAGTTTGGTGATAATCTAATTTAGCACTCTGCAAAAGAATGTGGCTTAGACTTCTTAATTCAACTCCCATAGTTTTGGTCAGCATCCAATTAGGAGATCTGTCTGTCTGTCTGTCTACCTATCTGTCTTCTGTCCACCTTAAAAACTCTCAATTCAAGAAAAGACTGTTAAGCCTTCATCTTGAAGATAAGCATGCACTTAAAAATTACAAAAGATTTCAAGCTGAGGACTCAGTATCCCCCCCCTGACTAGCACAATTCATTCTATTTAGCCAATGTCATAGTGATGGAAAACTGAATTCTGCCAATGGCTATGCCAATAAAATCAACAGAAACATCGTAGGATCACTGACCTTTGGCATCTGAGCATGTATAATAAAAATATTTCAGTTCCTCTGTACCAGTAGGATTTTTGTTTTGTTTCCCCCCCATGTCAATTCAGGGGTCAATTCCAGACCCCCTAGGAGATACATAGGACCAGGAATTTCTATAGGTAAGACTACTGGCATGCCCAGGTGCCATAACTGAGGATACTCACCTTTAAAAGGTGTGGGAATGTGCTGCAAATCCCATTCTCTGCTTCATATGTCTTATTTCTTCTAGTGGTCAACCCCTTCCCAAGAGAGTACAGAGAAGTTATACAGAAAAGCTCCACCAGTAGATTTCATGACAGTCTTCTATTATCTCTGAAATTGTTTACAAATTTCCCCAGTCTTTCTCAGACTTCCTCTGAGTCTCCTAATCCGAACCTCTCAGTTGATCACTAGCAGAAAAGTCCATATCCTGACTGTACTCATTCCGCGAGGATCAGGGTGGGAAGGTGTTCCCCCTCCCCTTCACCAAGGTGGCATCCAGTCAAATGATGTAATTCTACTACCTAAGAGCAAAAAGCCACAAGCCTCATTGACCTCATGCCACTGAATTTTTGCAGACAATCAGAGATGACCATCATCCAAGCTGTTTTGTCACTGAGTACACACAGACAGGCTCCCATCACCCACGCCTCTCAGTGTTTGTAAGTTTTACAAATATTATTAAATTACTCACGCGATATGATGAAACAAAACTGGAGACATTTTGTAGCTAAACAATTTTATTGGCTTTTTTTTGTGAAATAAAAAACACGAAAACAAACCACCATAGTTAAAGGCCATAATCAGCATCAACCAAATGAACCAGCCACTTGGTTACAGTAGCTGATAACAACACTAGTGGATATTATTGCTTATACCCCACGTTCATTTATATGTCCATTGTATTTTGGCAAGATTACAATCAAATGGAAGCTTTGGTTGTATAAATTCAACTATGACTACTCATTGAAAACTCAACCTCTATCATGATAGATGCCAATTCTCCTTGAGTATTGACATATATCCTCTATTCTGTTTCCTCCTTCCATTAATGATTTACATTCTTATTGAAAAAAGTTTAGGTGGATGCATTTGTCACCATCTCTCTCCCACTGTTCCCTCCCCTTGCCACGAGAAAGTGATACATTTGTGGACTTCTCTAAGCCCTCCTATCTGGTATGTTTCCAGTGCCAGGAATAAACGTCCACCTGTAATACAGACAGATCTTCAAATGCATATGGCATTTGAAGTGGTGTCTTTTTCATCTTTTGGAAAGTTAGAAAACAAAAAACAAACAAAACAAAAATAGCCCTTAGCATCAGTAAGTTGACCTTCTTCCAACAGAATGAGACCCAGTGACAACCCACAACATCCTGTGGCAGGTATGGGGGGGAGGGCTCTGCCCTTTACAATGCTTTGTGTGTGTGTGTGTGTGTGTGTGTGTGTGTGTGTGTGTGTGTGTGTGTGTGTGTGTGGTGTGTATCCTGTAACATCTTAATGTTCAGAGAAGCAATGATCTAAACTGCCTCTTGAAACCTCACCCACTCTCTACTCTACTTTCTATTTTAACACTGAAAATTCAGGACAAAGGGTCAGTACTAACTCACAATAGCACCATTTCCTAAGCTCTTGGTATTAGATTTCTTTCTGGGTTGGAGAAGGCAGGGACCCAGCCTCTAGCTTTGTGCTTTCATAGGCCCTGCTGTATTTCAGCAGGAGTGGGTGGTCTGCCATGGCCTCTTTCTGCAGTGACATGAATTTTTCCCTGGAAAGAGTTAAAATATGCATCTTTGTAACGTTGACTGCAGGTCAGAGACTTGAGGAAGCCTGTTTCTGGTGGTGAGAGGTGATCAGCCTGTAGGATGGTGGGACAAGTTTGGGGACCTTGTCCCTTGCTCATCTCAGTTCAAGTCAATGCAAAGTCTGCATGCAGAAGCATAGCAGGACCAAGGAACATCGAGAGCTACAAACCTAACACAGCAATCCAGATACCAATGCGTTAGCTCTAGCATTTCTTATGTAGTCAGGCCCACCAGTGAGTTTGCCCTGGATAATGCTGGGATTTAATAAGCCCTTCTAATGATTATAAAGATTATCTTGAATCTAGACATGTTAAACAACAGAATATTTGCTATCACTATATTTTACATGGCACATAGAACCATATAATTACTAGCACTTACACAGCAAATATTGTAAATACACATTCTTTGAGTAGAGTTGGTAATTATACCGATGTTATCCAGCAGCACAAAGATTAAGCACTTTCAGTTTGCGCTCTGCGGGATTTCAATCCAACCCATTACATCACAAAAAAAAAAAGGATAACCTTCTAATTATGTAATGATGCTTAACAACTTCATGGTCAATTTGTGGCCTGTAAAATAAAGTAATACATAGTATTTTCATTTCAACAAAATACAAGAGACCATATAAAAATAGTTTCCAATTTGGAATCTGAAACATGAAAGCTGGATTTTTTTTTTTTTTTTGTATAAAAAGAAACAAAATAACGGATTAAAGTTTATTAAGCCTCCCTAACAGAAAAATATACCTATCAGATTAAGGAATGCAGTGAGAGTCAGTTTCCCTTTTTTTTTGTTTTGTTTTGTTTTGTTTTGTCCAGGCTCATTGATGGTGAGCTTGTGCTTTGATCCTAAGGAAGAGAAATGCACAAAAGTGGAGAAGGTCAGTGCCTGAAACCTGAACTACAGTCATATCTCTAATCAGAAGACTAATTTTACAGTAGTGCTTTTAAAAGTGGAGTATCACATTTACTGGGTGTCTTCTCTCTTCCTCTTCAGGCCACTGCTGGAGATGAATTCCAGAAGCACCACTTTCGTCTTGAGTGATGTTTATTCAATGCGATATCTTCCTTCTCCCGCTCCCTTTTTACTCGTTGGTAGTGGTCTTCCTCCTTCAGGTACCACACTGGGGGCCAGCGGTGCCGTTCGAAGTACTCCTGGTTTTCTGGCAAGGGAAAGAGACTGATGGTCATGTCTGTCCATCACTACCTGTTCTATGCGGGAGGCCTCAAGTTCTATGTCAGTCACACTGTCTCATGTGGTGTGGGATAACTAGAGTCACTTGCAGACTGTGACACTCAAGTTTGTTGAGAGGTAGAATTTCTTGCCTGTAAGTCATGTAGCCAGGCAGCAGAGACTCAGAACTCAGAGAGTCTAAACTTGCTCCTGGGCAAAATCTCTGCATGCAGGGATTCTCCACAAGTTGTCTGCTCAGCAGGCTCCTCCCTCTGCCTCTCCCCCACACCCAGGGCCACCAGGAGGGAGGGGGTAAATGCATCTGTCAGGGAGGAGGAGAATGGGACGAACGGGGATTCCAACACACAGTCTCACCTGCGGATTTAGATTTGATTTCTTTGCGGAACTTGGAGCACACACTGTTGTAGTTGGTGCAGATGTGGTGCAAACACCAGGCAGCCAATTGGTTAGCATTGTGAAACTGCAGAAAAGGGATCAAAGGCGTTAATGCCTTTTCTTCTCTCTCTTTTTTCCTTCTGATTCTGGGGCCTGAACTCAGGGCCCAGGTGCTGCTGTCTGTTTGCTTTTTTTTGTTTTGCTCAAGGCTGCTACTCTGCCAATTGACTCATACTTATGGCTTTTCAGTGGCTAACTGGAAATAACAGTCTCACAGACTTTCCTTACCAGGCAGTCTTCTCAGATCTCAGCCACATGAGTAACTAAGATTACTGGTGTGAGACACTGGTGCCTATCTACATTTTTTTTTTTAAACTGAGACTTAAACCATTGTAGGAGTGAAGAGAAATAGTTATAGAACCCATTCATTAAATCTCTTTTGACTTCGCAGTTTAACACTGGCCATAACAATCAAGGGTAGTACCTGGCATGACCTCCTCCCTCAGGATAACCCAAAATTATCATTGCATCTCATCGGGAGATTAACGGACACTGCACCCTCCCACCCTTCCCTGCCACCTGGCCTGCTAGTGATATGCCACCGGGTGCCCTCTGGAAGACACCAGGCAGTAACAGAAAGCAGCGATGTCATCTCTGTTTAAGGAAGCTTGGGCAATGGAATACTTCGGGTCACATGTCAGAGCTCAACTTGCTGGGGCCAAAGATGAGAAAGAGGAGACTGCAGAACACATGATGACTGTTCTATACCTGTCCTTTGGTTACATAAGAAGAGCTGGCTTAGGGGCAGGCTGGAAGGCATCCAAACACTCCACCCATCCTTTCTTGGCAGACAGAGGCTCAGAGACGTGGTAGTTAAGGTTGCTGTGATCAAAAAAAGACCCAGTGCTCCCCCCCCCCCCCCCAGACACGAGCCAACACCCCCTTCATTTTGAAAGATCTGGCAGGATGTGTCTTATGCCCTTCTCAGACATTTCTTAGGCCAGATGAAATCTTGGACCCTCCTATGTGGTTCCCCTGTGGCTGGCATCTCTCCTGTGAAAAGCTAGCAATGCCTGATGCTTCCGAAGCCCACTCAAGGGAGTTGTAAGGTCACAGCTCCGACATCTGGGCTAGTTTAAGGCTGATGCTTCCAATTCTTTCTGGGAAGGCTGGACCAGCCCCACAGAGCTTCCCCCCTCTTTCTTAACGCAGTGAATCCATATTGTTCAAACCAACCTTCGCAGTAGTATTTACACCACAGAGATTGGAAAATACAACAGGTCAGGTTCCCATATCATCCTCAGTGAACTGTTAAGAGCACATCCCTGAGTACTGGCTAACAAATGAGTGAGGACGTGAGAGACTACATCCGAGCTCTTCCTGTGAAGGCTTGTCAGGGCTTAAGCAAGTAATCACACTGCCTTCCAGGGTGTGGGTGTGGCGGGGGCAGTGTGGGAGGCTGGGACAGATGGGAACACAGAGTAAACAAACACAACTTCAAATCATCACCCCAAGTGAACTGGTACTATTTGCAATTGTGACTCAGTTCCCTTTTCTTTATGATGACGGATACTTATTGGGCAATGTCCAAGTCAAATTGTATGTGTGTGTGTGTGTGGGGGGGGGTGCTTCAAAAACTCCCAATTTTCTTCTTTTCATACTTTACTGAGTGAACCTTTCAACAATTGTTTAGATCTTTAGTCTCAGATATGGTAGATAATGCCCCCACATTTCAGACCATAGACCACTAGTGTTGGCCGGGGCTTGCTGATTCTACTGCAATAGGGTATCTGTCAGTTTTTACTGCAGTCTTTAGCAGACTGGTTTTCATATTGGGTGTTTAAGCATTTGGGTTTGTTTCTCTCACTGCTTATGTTGCCTCAAGGGCAGAGAATCCCATTTGTAGGTACATGTCTTCCACCCAGTACCAGGAAGGTAAGTAACAAATATTTATTGAATGTTGGGTCAGAGTGAATAAGCTGCTCCAAGTCCTCTTTCACCTTTTTCCCCTTTGAATCTGAGCCATCTCCTCTGGCCACAGTTGGATGGCCTGCCTGACACCTGCTGCGTTGCCACTTTCTTCACCCTGGAATAATCTGCATTGCCACTTTCTTCACCCTGGGATAATCTACTCCCCCTTGAGAATTACTGGTTTAAATTGCCTAAGAGTTAACCAAAGCCCTACTACAGAGAAAGAACCAAGAAAGCCAAACTCAAAAGCACAAAAAAGGACTGCAGAATTTATCCTCCTTTCTCACCATTCCTCTGTCATACCAAGGAGAGATCCTTTTGCAGGTGAACCTTGGACTATGAGAGGCTCTGCTCTTCAGGGCTCTTTCTTGAACATTCTTTCCTTTTTGTTTGTGCAAATGTTCTGCAAGGTCTCAGAGGTTGTGACTCAGTATCCTCATTTCTTATGGGTAGACACCAAGGCAGAGCTTAGCTTTGTGCCTTGACCAAGTTACTTGATAAAAGATGAGCTGGAGCTAGGAGCTTCTTTAGAAGACCCTATGTTAATGTCTTGGATTTATGGATGTTGGTATGAACAAAAACTAATATGGAAAATCTAGAAAAAGCTCCAGCAAAATGTCCATTAATATAGGAGGAGTACATTTCTGGGCTTTCATGGAATTCTAGAAATTGTCTGTTCTTGGCCAAATACATGTTCAAGAAGGAAGAGAGACACCACCTCCTTCTGTTTTACTCCAGAGGTTTTCCTGTGCTTGTAGTCAGCTCCTTAGGGAACAATGGGACTGGTGTGGGTGTGGGGGTCCTTGTATTTTCAAAGGAAGCCCAGCAGGGCAAATGGTGCCTGAAATGTAAAACTCTCAGATCTTCTCAGTATACACAGGGGGCCTCTGTGACTCAGTGGTGACATCTTTATTTAGACAGATGCAATGATGGAATGTTTTATTTAAATGAACTAGTTGAACACACTTCAGAGGTAAAGGGAAAACTGCTACAAACCTGGGCCAGTTCCAAGTAAGAGAGCACTTCGCCATCGATGCCCACACCACTCACTGCGGCCTTGGTCAGCTCCTGAACGGCATGCTGCTCTGGGAAGAGAAGGACAGGGGGCAGTTAAATAGCACTCCACAGGCTAGGACTCTTACCCAACGGGCTGGTCTGCAATTTCTTAAGAGAAAGACTATAAGGAACACGGACTGCTAAGGGCAGGTGCCTATACTGAATGTAGACTAGATTCTGATGGGGGGTGGGGGCTTTTTGTATGCTACTGCACCATCATCTTTGGGAACTCTTATCTGGGCTTCTGAAGTAGCCCATTTTCCCCAGATCTGCACTGCCCTTGGGCCAAAGAAGACTGCTTCAGATAATCAATGGTGGATGAAATTAAAGTTCAACTCCTCAGTGACACCAGGCACATTAATTACTCAAAAGTCCACATGTCTTCTACACTGGGTGATGCAGGTATGGAACTTTTATAACCATGCAAGATAGTTCTACTGGACAGTGTGGCTCCAGACTGTCCAGCAGCTTCCAGGAATTCTCTAGACATGTTCATGTTCAACAGTTTTGGTAATTATCTCTATTCAGTGAGTTAGATAGGTGAATGTATACATCTCAGTGAGTTAGATAGGTGAATGTATACCTCTGTATCAGCAGTGTATACCTCTGTATCAGAATGTATACCTCTGTATCAGGCATGGCATATTGTTCAACCTCTTAGGCTACAAAGGTGGGAGAGAGTTTCAATTAGATGTTACAAAAATCCAGTTGGGATAACTACGATTGCCGCTTGGGAATCTGTATCCAACTGTTGTAAGCTGAATGCAGAATTGTGGTTCTAAGGCTGAGATGTTTCTTGCCTGTGTTGGGGGTTGTCTCCTGCTTCTGGAATTGGCATGTATGTATCGACTCTTGATCCTGCATTTCTTTCTTTTTTCTTTTTTGCCAGTCCTGGGGCTTGAACTCAGGACCTGAGCTTCTTTTTGCTCAAGGCTAGCACTCTACTACTTGAGCCAAAGTGCCACTTCTGGCTTTTTCATGCATGCTGAGCAAACACTCTACCACTATGCCACATTCCTAGCCCAGTCTTGCATTTCTTGTTCCTCAATGCTGATGTCATCTCTAGCATAGGACTTGTTCTAATCTAATATTCACATGTTCCTCATTTTAGTGCACTTCACTGGATTGCACTTTGGAGATAATGGCAAGACTTTGTCAAGCAAGTCTGTTTGTGCCATTTTTCAATTTATGTCTTAGTTACACATGTTGGTACTTCTTGGAGTATTTCAAACACTTTCATCATTATATCACATCTGTTCTGGTGTAATTAACGTAATTGCTTTCAGGCACCAGAGACTGGACCCATGGAAGATGGTGAACTTTCATAGACACTTGTTGCATGTGTTCTAATTGCTCCACTGATGAGCTTATTTCTCTAAGTTTCTCTTCTTTCCTTATGCCTCTTTATGACATATAGCACTGAAATTAGGCTAATTAATAAGCCCCATGGATTATAAGTCTTCAAATGAAAGAAATTGTCATATATCTCTCACTGTCAGTCAAAAGCTAGAAATGATTGCTATTTAGTGGGAAAGCTATGTAAAAAGCTAGGACAGGTCTAAAGCTAGGCTTCTTCTACTACAGAGTTAAGTTATGATTGTGAAAGAGAAGTTCTTGAGAGAAATAAAAAGTGCCACTCCAGTGAGCAGCACACAAATATTAAGAAAGAGAAATAGCTGCTTTGGAGAAAGTTTTAGTGGCCTGAAATGATAATCAAACCAAGCACAATATTTCCTTAAGCCAAAGGCTATTCTAAAACAATACTCAATACCCTTTGGTTCCATGAAGGCTAAGAATGTTGAGGGAACTGTGGCTAAAAAGGTAGAAGCCAGCAGAGGCGGGTTCCTAAGGTTTAAGAAAACAGATAACTCCATAAAACGGATAAATGCTGGTGTAGAAGCTGCAGCAAGTTATCCAAAATATCTAGACAATACCCTTAGTGAATTAAAGGTAGCTATACACCACAGATTTTCAATGGAGACAAAGAGCCTGAAATGATGGGATACCATTAAGTACTTCCATAACTAGAGAGAAGTCTGTGCTTGGCTCTAAAGCTTCAATAGACAAGAAGAGTCTCTTGTTAAAAGGGCTAATATAGCTGGTAACTTTTAAGTTGAAGTCAGTACTCACTTTCTACTTGGAAAACTATTGGACCCTTAAGATCTACACTATTTGCTCTGCCTGTGCACTATGAACAGAATAGTAAAGTCTGGGTGACAGCATATCTATTTGCAACACAGCTTCCTGAGTGTTTTAAGTCTACTCTTGAGACTTACTTATCAGAGAAAAGCTACCTTTAAAAAATATATGTGCTTGCTTATTTGCAATGCACCTGGCCATCTAAGAGATCTAACAAAGACATACGATTTTAGAGGGATAATTTTACCTTTCAAATCTTATGATTTAAGAAATCTATGTAAGTAAGGCTATAGTTGTTGAAGGTAGTGATTCCTCTGATGGATCTGAGCAAAAGAAATTGAAACTTTCTGGAAAGCATTCACTCTACATGCCATTAAGAACACTTGTGAGTCATGGGGAGAGGCCAAAATATCAACCTTAAAGGCATTTGGAAGTCTTCCATGAGAACTTCCAGATGTCAGTGGGGGAAGCAACTGCAGACGTGGTGGAAATTGCAAGATAGATAGAATGAGGAGTGGGAGAACTGTCTAAGAGGACTAGAGCCTGAATTGCTTCCATCTTGGGATGCAACATTAACATATAATGTGTTGCTGCTTACTGATGAGCTAAGAAAGCAGTTGGTCCAGTCAGAAATTACTCTTGGATAAAACGCTGGAAACACTGGTGCAATGACATCATATCTGAATATTACATAAACTAAGTGTTAAAAAGGAGGCAGGGATTGGAGAAATGGGCTTCAGATTTTTTGTTTTTGTTTTTGAAAAAACAAGCTACAAGTAATCTTTTGTGAAAGGAAGGATCAATGTATGCGGCAAACTTCAGTGCCAACTTTTAAGAAATTGGCACGGCCACCGTAAACTTGGAACCACTTCTTTGCCTTGACCAGCCAGCAGGCATAAGGGAGACTCTCCGTTAGCAAAAAGATTACAACTAGTTGAGTGCTCACACAATTGTTCAGCATTTTAAAAGAGCAATCTTTATTTTATAATTGAGGTATATACTTTTATAGAAGATTCAATACACTGTCATGCTTAAGATTACAATATTATAGTGCAGATGTCACTTCAATATTTCCCATGAAACCAGAAAAAGTTCACAATTGACTTTAATGTGATATTTGCCTTTCCTTTTCTTTCTTTCTTTCTCTTTCTTTCTTTCTTTCTCCTTCCTTCCTTCCTTCCTTCCTTCCTTCCTTCCTTCCTTCCTTCCTTCCTTCCTTCCTTCCTTCCTTCCTTCCTTCCTTCCTTCCTTCCTTCCTTCCTTCCTTCCTTCCTTCCTTCCTTCCTTCCTTCCTTCCTTCCTTCCTTCCTTCCTTCCTTTTGCCAGTCTTGGGGCTTAAACTCAGGGTCTGGGCACTGTCTCTGAGCTTCTTTGGTTCATGGCTAGCACTCTACCACTTAAGCCACAGCCCTATTTCTGGACTTTTCTGTTTATGTGGTACTAAGGAATCGAACCCACGGCTTAATGCATGCTAGGCAAGCACTCTACCACTAAGCCACATTTCCAGCCCCAATAATTTTTTAGAATCCAGAGTACTGATTGCTACTTTCCTTCCTTTTTTTTGTCAATTGTGGGACTTGAACTCTGGACCTGGGCACTGTCTCTCAGCTCTTCAGCTCAAGATTAGCGCTCTACCACTTGAGTCACAGTGCCACTTCCAGTGATATTTGCTTTATTGCAAACTGAATGCTTTAGTTTTTTTTTTTCTTTTCTGTCAGTTGTGGGGCCTGAACTCTGGTCCTGGGTGCTGTCCTTCAGCTGTTCAGCTCAAGGCTAGAGCTCCACCACTTGAGCCACTTCTGGCTTTTTCTGTTTATGTGGCACTAAGGAATTGAACCCAGGGCCTCATGCATGCAAGGCAAGCACTCTACCACTGAGCCACCTTCCCAGCCCTGAATGTTCTAGTTTTATAAAACAGTTATTGTTTATGCAATACCTTGGAGGTAAGTTTGTATTGTTCAAATCAAGGCTACTTCTTGTTCTGGCTCTATGCACTTCTTAGTCTTATGTCTTCATCTGATTAGTCTGCATGGAAGCTAAAATGCTATGGTTCCTTTGCTATAACCCTCCTCAGCTGGACTGAAAACCATTTGAAACTCAATTTCCCAGAAAAGTTACCAGGGTTCTTTAATTTTAAGTAACTGCATCATCACTTGACGTTCATTTCACACTAGCTTCTAAAACGTTTTCTCTCCAGAAATTGAGGTTTAAATACTCCATAAAGATGTTCTAAATACTGTGCAGGAGACTGTGCAGTCAAATAATATAAATGATTCAAGGAATTTTCTTGGAAAGCTGTTTATTAAATAATCGTAATGGCAACAACATTTATAAAAGTAACAAAGAAACCTGGAGTTCACTCAAGAAGTTTCTTTGGGTCCGTTATTATTTTTTTTAATGGAGAACTCAATCCTATGTTATCCATGCCAGTTGTAATATTTAAGCAAAAAGTGGTACAAAACCATGACTGGTCAACAAATCCTGTTTGGCACACTTGTCAAAATTGCTTTTGGTCATTTCAAATTACCCTCAAAGGACAAACACTTGTAAAATCTGTGGATAGTTAGATGGGCTGGAACTCATACTTGGGGAAAATCTTCTAGAGTTAGTGTTTAAAACTTTGAGTAGTTTAAGTCACTTAGATCTAGGGTTCAGGTATATTGATTTAAAAGACCTAAAGAAATACAATAGTGATGCTTCAAATTTTTCTATTGAGGAAAAAGTAGGGTGAAGGACTTTGATTTCCAGTTGGTTAGTGAATAGTAGAAACCTGGAAGACAGGGGATTTCATTTTTATCTAAAATCTTGCCAGGCCATGAACTGTGCATGGGACGGGCTGGTCTGTACTATCCTTATTTCCATTTGCTTAGATATTCAGTTAGAATTTATGTAGGGAAACAAGGGAACAAGGCAGGAACTGTCTTGCTCTGCGGTCATAGTTACTAGGATCAATCCAATATAGTGAAAAACACCCACTTTGCCCATTGACCCCACTGAGGGATGAAGAGTTTATTTTTTGAAAAGATATTTAAATGCCCACCTTCTATATAGACTTGCTTCTGCTTAACCAACTGAACATATTTGGAATCACAGATAAGACTTTTGAAGTTAAGCCAAATCTTCCTTTTTCTCCTTTTTCCCCCCTCAAAATGAAGGTGACAGTGTGTCAGAACATTTTCTAAAACAGCTTTAAGCAAACCACTTACATAAGTGCTTATTATGTGCCAGACACTGTTCTCAGGGCTTTACATATAATTCATTTAATCTTCCTAAAAACTCTATGGCAGTTAATATGAGCCTCAATTTAAAACGGGGGAACCCTGAGATGCATGGCTCAGGTTAGCTAAAGACCAATGTCTTTGAATAGAAGGGTCAGATCTGGAAGCGGGCAATCTGGCTCTGTTCTAACCTAAGGCATCTCCTGGCTTAAATACCATGCCTATGTACACGTTTTGATGATACTGTTGACAGGATACTTTTATTGAAAACTCCCCAGTCCACCAATGATTTCACAGGATATAGCATGTGCCTCCAGGAGGGGGGTCTTATGTTATTCCCTTTTATATTTGCTTCACCAAACAGGGCCTGCTCCCAAATAGGTGCTTATGAATGCTGTGTTGGATTAGAGTCTGATAGATTTGATCAGCTTGTATCACCTATGTAAGACAGTTCCATTTGTGGGAGGAGGGGATGAAAACAAATTTTGCTTCCCTGGAAATCTTAGTTTTTGTTTACATGCTTTCCCCCCCCCCCTCTGATAAATGTGACAGTCAGACACTGCACAACCCAAGCCATCAGCCTTACCTGCGAGGGCAACCAAGTGTGGCAGGCAAAATCTGTTTGCCAAGGCAATTAGTTCCAGTGGATCCAGATCCAAGGTGGGGGACAACTGCTTGGTATAGAGATAATCCAACACTGCTTGCATTGACATCTTGTTTATGTTCGGGAGATATACCTGAAATATTATAGGCAAAGCTGAATTCTGCTGGAGAAAGTTTTAGACTCTGCTGCTTATAAATATCCCAACACTGTGAATCCATGCTGGCAAGTCTCAGATACCTGCTTTGAGACGACACATAGAAGCCACCCAATATTTATGGGTGTAAACACAACAGTTTGATTTGTAGATGACAATGGAGTGGCGCTGCCTGACAAAGCCTGATTTGGAATTTTTTAAATGGCTATCTGGATGTGTAAATCAGACAAATGGGTTGTAAATGTATGGTGACATTTCGGCCTTCCTTGCCAAGTAGCCGAGAACTCTCTATTGTGGAGAAAGAAATCTCCTAGCAACATGACAGGTGTTGGGGGAGCTGCAATCTGCTCTGTTGCCAACACAGGACGAAGCCTGGCTCTTTTAAGATGTCCAAATAGAGAAAGAACAACTGCTTCTGTAGCCATAGTGACTGGCTTGTTTTTGATGTCCTGTTAGTAATATTAATATCATATACACATTCTGTTATTTTGTTTTCCTGCAACCACATGGACTCAGAACTCCTGGAACATGATTAGGTCTCTGTGAATTCATAGTATCCAAAGGACATCTGGGGTTGGGTCGGTTGGTTGGGATGGTTCACCGTTTCTTATAGGATTCCTCAGGTCTTTTCCCTGAGTGTCTGGGGCACTATTGACATAAAGGTAATGGTAGGGGCAGGGAATGCCTGGGAAATTCAGTTCTAGATGGGTGGGCCTGGGTCAATTTGTGTGTACATTCTTTACTTTCCCTAATTAACCCTGTGAGACAGGCCTTGTGGTACTACAGAATAGTACCACTTGGCCTTTCTGTTGGAATGTGGATGACGACAAAAGTGAACCTTACTAGAAGACCTTCTCCACACCAGCCACTGTGCTGAGCTTTCCATATATCTCATTTGGTCCTTGTATCCACACTAGGAGGAAGGCTATTTTGATTTCACAGAAAAGGAAATTGAAGTTCAGGAACAGTAAGTCATATTTCAAAGGTCACAGAGCCAGGAAGTAGTGACTGGGATTTAAGCTCAGGAAATAAAATTCTGGTGTCTGTTCTGAGTTGCTGTGTAGTACCAGAAGTCCTTACTGGCAATGGTTTGGGTTATAGAACAATGAAGTATTGTTTCAGGAATGGTTTTTAACATTGAGACCTTTCTCCTCCCCTCTTCCTGTTCCCCCCTTCCCCCTCCCTCCCCTTCTCTCTTCCCTCTTCCCTCTTTTTCTCCCTTCTTTCCTTCCTCCAGTTTCTGGGTTTTGAAAGTTATCTGAATTTTTAGGATTGTTTGCTAAGAGTGTTTCCTAATTCATCCCTCAAAGAAAAAATAAATTCCCATTAGAAATACAAATGTGAAAATGGATATCTTAAGTGAAAAAGAAGTTATTTCTGGCAACAGGATTCCAGTGAGTGGTCCCATTCTAATACTGCCCGTGTCCTCAATGTTCTGATGTTTGTCACTACCCAAGAGACACTCTTTCCCTTTTTCCTTCATAAGTTTTTGAAAGGATGCTTCTGTTAGGCAAATAGTCGGGTACCATCAACAGTAACCATCACAGGAGAAGAATGGAAATGTCAACAGCGACTAGAATTCTTTGGGTACAACTGGCTGATGGAATTTCATGCTCAATTTTGTTACTTGGTCCTATGGGTTTCTCTTTTGAATGGCTTGAATCTTCATGCTGCAGGTCTACGAAGTGCATGACCTAGTCCTTATGAAGCAGGGATGTTGGAGCTGGCTGGTGCCATCTTGGCCATGTAGTGGATAGGGAATTGAGTTTAACTGGCACCAGCTTGTTTTCATGGTGGAAGAAGGGTAAGTCCCACCTCCCAGGTGAATTCCAAGAGGCAGGAGCAGACACTTGGACAATAGGTTACTGGGCCTGTCAGTCCTGTGCTTTGAACTCGAGAGACACTGGAATTTCCTGTGACCCTGCTCCCTGTCCTTGACTCTATGTAGGCCCCGAACAGCTCAGTTGGGATGCCATGTGCTAAGTCTCCTATATCTCCTGGCTTTCCTTTGGTCAACATGGCATCCCATTTAAGCTCTCCATTGGAGTTGATCTGATTTGTTGATATTGTTTTTCTGCTCTTTCTTTCCTCTCCTGCTCTCATGGCTCAGTTTTTTTTTTGGACAGTGTTAAGTGTATTTCCAGGGCTGCAGGTGACAAGAATCCATTTGCAGTCACCAGCTTTCTAATAAAGACTCCCAATTTGACCTCTCAAAATGTGGCTTCTGTTTTCTCTCGCTGTGCATCATTTCAGGATGGCACACTAACCAGGTGGCCACCTCTAGGAAGGTTAAAAAAAAAAAAACACACAAACACAAAATAAAAACATGTGTACGTTCACATTTGTTGCCAAGTTTTTGTTTTGGTCACCTCGAATGCGCAGTTTAATCTGGAGAAGATTACAGTCCATTCTGTGAAGGGATAAAGGCGATTAGTATTCGAGAGGTCAGTGCTGACAGTGTCTCTTTGTGCCTGGGTTCCTGACCTTGATCAACTTTGCTCTGCCCAGTTAACAGCAGGCTCTCCGCTGAACCATCAGCAGAGGCATTTCAGTATGCTGGAACATGACCAGGAGCTAGCTTCCCAGATCTTTGTCTCTGACAACTGCAGTCAATAAAATGGCAATTGGAGGAGGTTTTTACTAATCAGTGGTTACCACAAAATTTCCTCGGAAGTAAAAGGAAAGGAATATAATCCGCATCCACCATGACTGGTGGCAGGCACTCATTTACTTAAGGCTTAGAAGTGCTTGACAAGAACTGACTTGCACACTGCGTGGTATTACTGGGTCTTCCAGATGGAGATTGGAGCTCAGAAAGGTTAAGTCAGTTATCCGAGGCCATCAACTTGTAAGTGAAGGAGTTGTTATTTAAGTTCCGTAATGCTTAAGTAGTTACCCTCGCAGAGCCGGACCATCTAATAAAAGCCCTCAATCCCACTGACCACACGCGAGACTCAGCATAGTTACAAGTGAGAAGCTCCTGATTTATAGAGCTTGTCAGACACCAGAATTTGTCATTGGGATAATTCTAACATTTCTCCTCTAAAACAGCAGACAGCCTTGTGCTGGGAGCTGGCTTAGGAGAAGCTCAAGTTTGTTCTGGAAGCAGGAGGGTGCCCTAGTGACCTTCTCCACCCCAGCCATCCCAGGCTTGTGATTCTAGGATTGGTTCCCCACTTAGGGATGCAAATGCAGGGTCCCAGGTCACAATGGGACAGCTCAGATTTCCCATAAGCACCCCTTTTGAAAAGTTAGCTATTGTTTTCTGTATTTCTTTTGAAAGTTCAGAGAGATGCTGAGATAAGCAGAACAAGCTTCTTAGGACAATAAACTTGATGGGGTGTCCCCGTGCTTTCTTATTTTCTTATTTTTTAAAGAGGTTAAAAAATAGTTGCAAAACTCAACAAAAGTCCTTGTTGGCTCCTAGACTAAAGTTAGAAGTGCCTGAATACAATTGTTTTCCAACAGAGTTTAGAAAAAGATAAGGGCAGTGTTTCCGAGATACTGCTTGCTCTGTTCTAAGAGCACAAGTCCTTTTGGAACTTCTGTGGCCAAAGAACGCTTTACTTTTGTGAACTGGAAAATCATCATTGTCTCTTGTGTTCTGGACTTTTTTTTTTTTTTTGGTCAGTCGTGGGCCTTGAACTCTGGGCCTGGACGCTGTCCCTCAGCTCTTCAGCTCAAGGGTAGCGCTCTACCACTTGAGCCACAGCGCCACTTCCGGTTTTCTGGTGGTTTATTGGAGATAAGAGTTTCACGGTGTTTCCTTCCCGGGCTGGCTTTGAACTGTGATTCTCAGATCTCAGCCTCCTAAGTAACTAGGATTACAGGCGTGAGCCACCGGTGCCCGGCTCTGGATTTTTTTTTTTTTTTTTTGCACTAGGGATTGGTCTCAGAGCCTCACACTTTCAAGTACTCTACCACTTGAGTCATACCTTTGGTTCTTTTTGAGTTTTTATTTTGTTTGTTTTCTAGGCAGGGTTTTGAGCATTTGCTTAGGCCTTCCTCAGACTGAGATGCTTCTACATCTGCCTCCTGAGTAGTCAGTATTAAAGGGAGGTGTTACTATGCCCAGGTCATACATAATTTTGGTATCATATTGTGACCTTTTGTGAACAGTATAGCTGACCAGGCCTCATGGTTGAGAAAATATGTAAATATGAAAATATAAGTTGCATGTCAAGCACACATGTGCTCAATAGAATGACCAAGGAGAATATGTAGCTCCTTAAGCTACAGAATTATCCAAAGGAGATCTACAACTCAAAGATGGCTCGAGGAGCTATTTCACGGAAGTAGTTGAGAAATGAGATCAGCTGGATAAACACTTTTCCTAAGCAGACACACACATTAGTAAGGTTGCCACTAGTCATTTAATAAGACACCTACCTCACTTTTGGCACTTTCCACAAAGGATCCCCCAAACATGGCGGCCATCCACTCACAGCTACAGATCAGCAGTGGCTTGTGGGCACTGATGGCTCCATCATCCAAGGTAAATGTCACGTCTGCCAAAGAATCAACGAATGAGCCAGCTTTGCTGATAGTTCAAGCCATGACTTCTGCTCTACCCACATCCACTAACCTCTATCTGCCACTCTTCTGTATCTACTCACTGATGGTTTCAGCCTCCACTTTTGGCACAGCCATCTCTCACATTAAGAAACAGACATTTCAAATGCACTACAACCAAAATTCTCTGAACCAAATGTCACAGAGTAGGAAAAACTTCATACATGAAGAACAGTGGACCAGAAGTGTTTTGGGATTTTGAATTTGTTCAGACTTTGTTTTATCTGCATATACATAATAACATCCTATTGATGTGAAATGTTTAAATACAAAATTCACTTATGTGTCAGAGTCATGTAGCCCAAAGGCAATTAATTAGCCATTTAATTAATTTGATTGTACTAGGTTGGAAATCAGGGCCTTGTACTTGATAAGCAAGCACTCTACCACAGAGTACCATGGACTCAGCCTGTGAAGGTAATTTTAGACATTATTTTTTATGTATCTACATTTGACTGTGACCTATCAAATGAAGACACATGGAGAACTTTCCACTCTTTGCCTCTGGGAAGTTCTGGCCTTTGGTACATTTCTGATTTTGAATTTTCAGACTAGGGATATTCAGTCTATACAAGGATAGTTTATTTATCCGTTAGTAACATTTTGCAATGTTTGATTCTAGGTATATGTGTGTAGAGTTTTTAAGAGATAATATGACACTTCTAAGTACTTTATTATAAACTTTCTAAAAATAAGAATATTATCTAACATAATATAAATATATGGACATATAATTATTTCACCTAAGAAAACTGAACATAATTCCTTAATGTTATTCACTAGCTAGCTCAAATTCAAATTTCCCTAATCATCTTTAAAGTTTATTTCATTTTTTTTGTGTGTGTGCCAGTCCAAGGGCTTGAGTTCAGGGTTTGGGGGCTGTCCCTGAATTTCTTTTACTCTACTTTCTAGCACTCTAACATTTGAGCCACAGTTCCAGTTCTGGCTATTTCTGAGTAGTGTATTGGAGGTAAGAGTCTCACAGACTTTCCTGTCTGGGCTAGATTCAAACCACAATCCCAAGAGCTCAGCCTCCTGAGTAGCAAGGATTATAAGCATGAGGCACTGGCACCTGGTGCTGATTTCACATTAAAAAAATAGTACTGAGTTTCTAATCCCACATGAGTTTTTCTCTGCATTAAGGAGAGGATGATATATCCAACTAACTTAGTGAAAGTACACTGCTTAATTTCCTATAGGTTTGTACTATGTTCATTTGATTAACTTTCAAGACTGCTTCTATACCTCAATAGGAAATACTTTTAGTAAATATTACTCATAAGCTTTAAAATTAATGAAGAGATTTAGTAAGTAACCACTTACTAAATGTACCATGATGGGGATTGAATGATAAAGACAAAAATAGAAGTGTCCACATAAATAGAAGTCAGGAAGTTAATTTTTTGCAATGGCATTCACAATCACCCACACCCAGAGGACAAGTTTAGAACAAAAATACAGCAAGTGTATAAGACTGTACTGTCTCACAAGCCAGAATCAGTCACTCTGACTCTCAGTAGTCTACCAGTGTGCCTAAGCAGATGCAGAAGAGCATGTGATCGGTACATGCCATAGTTATCAAAGACAAAGGGCATAGAAACTATGGAGGAGCTGGGCCAAATTGTGGAGAACAGAAGAGGAGAGAGGTTGAAATGCACAAGGTAGTCTTCATGGGAAAGGAAGGCCAGGACTTCAGTAGCCTGAGGTCACTCTTGAAGAGCCAAAGGAGAAGAGAGCTGGTCATGAATGGACCCTGGAAGGGAGTTTTAAGGATCAAGCAGATTGGGGATGGGCTCAGGGATCTGATCTATTCCTGAGGAACAGCCATTGCGATTTTAGGGAACAGATTTCTGCAGCCACAAAAGCTTGGGTTCAACTTATTGCCTGTGTTACCATGCAGACATTAATCTCTTTGTATCTCAGCTTCTCCATATGCAAGATGGAGAGAGTAGCCTGAAGTAGGATGAAAATTAGATAAGATGGCATCTATGGCTTAGAAAGTTACATGGAGGGGGTGAGGGAAGGGCACTCCTAAGTGTTACCAGCAATATCCTTTCCTCTGCTCATTTTGGCAGTGTTTGATAAAATGCCCTTGGAAGGCTAGATGGCTCCCGCACTGGCCCTGCTCACCTGAGAAGGTCCCTTTGCTGAGACATTCTTTTATCCGGTTGGCTTTCCTGACATGAAAGGCTTTCGTAATCTCCTGGTTCATAAAGGCTTCCTTGTTCATGATGTTTTCCACCATCATCCTCAAGTCAAACATCTCTAGTACCTCTGCGATCTGGGCTAAACCCACCAAATCCTTTTCCTTTTCATCCAGTTGCCCTGTATATAAAAACTGGAGCAAGGTCCGGAAAGGGCCTGACTGTACAGACGAGTCCATCCGGACTATTGTCATGGTGCCCACACGTTTGGAGATGGGATTGACTTGCATTTCCTTGTGTATGCTGATGAACCCTTTACTCCAGTCTGACAAATTCTGCATCTCAGCAACTGTGCCTTCTGCTTCCAGTCCCAAACTGTCTGGCAAGTCCTTGCTGGAGAAGGTCCCTTCATCAGGCTGCGGTGTCCTTGGGGGGCCCTCCTGCCCTTCCTCATCTGGGTCAAGACTCAGCATCTGTTCCTGGAAATCCTTACTTTGCCTCTCTTGCTCACAAACTCCCTCACCCCAATTCGGGGATTCTTCACGTTCCATTAAAAAAAGATCGTAAAACTTGGAAGAAGAGGTAGCAAGGTAAATTCGATGCGCAAAGATGTGCTCCTGATCCTGAAGAATGAACAGGACATCAGCACACAGAGGATTGTCCAGTAAACAGGCGGCTTCATTCATCCCTGTGGAAGGACAGTCTGGAATTCTGATGACCGGTGGAGGGGCCTTTGGAGGTAGGAAAGGTGCCTGAAGTAAGGGCTTCTGGACTTTCTTTAAGTGGGATTTCCAGAACTGAAGGTGCCGGCGTGAAATTAGCGCTGCACGGATTGCATTGTCAAACACATCCTTGATTCCAAATTGGTCAAATACACTTGTCTCGTAGTATGGGATACCAAGTTCCTTGGCAACCTCTCGGCCTTTTTCTGGGGGCAAAATATCCCCTCTCTTTATGGGCCTGAAACAGAATATTTAAAAAATTATAATTGGCCTTATTTTACAAGAGAAAAAAAACTAGCCAGTACCTATCCAAGCACCTAGTTAAATTATGCATTTAAAGTCTTATTTAGACTTTAATAAGGCTCTTGAAGACGCTATTGTATTAATATAAGCAATTAAAGAAACCTATTGTGAATTACAGGTCTTCCAAATATAAATTTATAACCACAGGGGAAAAATGCTTTCAGTATTAACCACAGGAAGTTAAGTATAATCCTTTTATTGGCTCTTTGTTCTTCAGTAGTTTATCTAATGTCTTTGAGCTTTGGTTTTCCCATTTGTAAAACAGGTACAATAATAGTGAGTAGCTATACTTTAAAGAACTACTGAAAGATGTAAGTGAGAAAAAATACCTTGCCTAGTTACTTGGTCCACTGTGCTCTAATAATGATATCATCATTAATACTACCTTCACCATCATCTCCATCATTATCATCATCATCATCATCATCATCATCATCATCTTAGATTTAAACTACACCTTTTAACTTTAAAATCTCACATCTACTTATTTTATTTGAGCCTCTATACCTTATTATTTTCATTCTATACTTTGCAGAAGCAGGCAGGAAGTTAGAAGGGTTTGCTTAGAATCACATTTACAAATTATTGTAGATCTTTACTAAGCAATTTAGTGTAGATTTTCCTATACTTGATAAATGATCTATATCCAATAGCTTATTAGGTTTTTCTCTAGGGGGTTCATGAATTGGCTTTCAAATTTTTCACCTTATTTTCTTCTTCTACTTTCTTCATTAGGTTTTCATCATCTTTTGGGTAGAGTCGTGAAATTTTGCTCAAGAATACTCATTACTGCAAGAAATGTCCTTAAATAGCACAAGAATATACTGGCAATTCTGAATTAATTTCTTTTGATTTCACAAAGCCTGTTGTGGCCTTTCGTCTGATACACAATGACCGCATACCATCTCATCAAAGCCAGTAAAGCCAATACAATCAGTGTAGGGCTGGGGTTATAAAATAATCAGGTAAAGGGACAGACAGTATCCAGAGCACGGAAAAGATGTGATTTGTTATTACAACTCCTCAAAAAGCACATGCTTGATTCTGAGACATTGTCTTAGGTACTGATATTCTTAAATAAAATGTACTACCTGAAAGAGTAAGGCTTGAATAACCTGCTTCATAAAATTGTCTTAGAATTGCTATGTAGCGGAGCCTGTCTTGTTCACTCTCTTTACAGGTCTGTAATCTTCCTCCAGTCATCTACATACCCATGTGGCTTTTAATATGGATTTAAGAATAGAAAGATGGTGAAGACCGAACAAAAAATGCTTTCAGGAACTTTATTCAAAACATACTGAGAATGCTAGTGTGTTCTTTTCCACTAAGAGCATAGAAAATGGTGCCCCCAGAAAATTTTGTGACAAGTAGGCCAACATCAAAGCAAGGTATTAATATAAAAATTTTTGAAAAGTTATGTTCTCCAGAAAAAAAATATATATACACTTCGAAAAGACAAATCTGTTTTGCACAAAGGGAATTTGAGGCGCAGCAGGTTTCACAAACATTTATTTCTCCCACAAAATTAATATCCGCATTGTATAATAGCAAAACAAATCAATCTTCAAGTATTTTTTAAAACAGTATATAACACTTTATAATGACTGAAGACATTTGTTGGCTTTTTTTTGTGGAACTGTTAGGTCCAAAATGATTTTTGGATTAGACACTGTCCTCTTGCCATTGAATTTCTTTCACAGGTTAGGCTCATGAATATGAGGAAGTGCCTTGATTTTTCTTAAAGCCACACATGCCTGACTCACTGTGAGCATTAATTCACTTTATTATATTCGTGATGTCAAAATGACATTATTACAGACCGCTAACATTTTATGTACTATTTTATACATTAGAGAACATTTCTGTCACATAATTTCAAACCTAGAGGGTTCACTTAAGCACTGGCCAACCATATTACAAAGACGGATTCTGACGTGAGAAATGAAGGTGGGAATGCGAGGGGGTCAGGGTAATCGCTTCAGGTTTAACCACTTAACTGAAAGCATATGGCTGGTTGATGGGGGGGGGGGGGTCCCAGAACCAATGAAACACAGAGTGTGGGGATCCAGAGACCCTTGCTCTCTCTGATTCTTAATTTGAGCAACAAAGTATGAGCCCTTGGCTTACCTGGCTAATGGGCGTCTGGCTCGATTAACAGCCTCCAGATCAGCATAGCGGAGATCCAGCTGGCAGCCAACTAAGACAACAGGTGTGCGAGGGCAAAAGTGCTTGATTTCTTGATACCACATGGTTTTCACATGATTTAGGGAGTTGGGATTAGCGATGGAAAAACAGAGTACCACAACATCAGATCTAAAAGGAAACCACAAAAGAAGCTCGTGATGCCTTTTCTCACTTTTTTCTTTTACTATCATGGTATCTTTCCCCCCTCCCTCCATTCGCCTAATGCCAGCTCATGTCCCAGGAACCAAAAAAAAAAAAACCCAAACAAAAGGACCAGATATTCATTATTATTCATGCAAACAGCCGGATAAGCCCCCACATTCCAGCACCAACACAGCCTAATGGTCCATTTCCATATCACACAGCAAAATGCATATGCACTGAAGTTTTTTTTTTTTTTTTTTCCAGTGAAGTTACTTCTAGAAGAGATAGTTATACCAACTTAACTCAGTCCTGGAATCATGACATGCTGAACTATTTCTGCTCCCAAGAAATAGTTTCAAGAGGAAAGAAAAACAATTTAAAAAAAAACAAAAAAACGACCTTTTACTCATTTAAACACAAAAGGTGATGATGATTCAACCCGATGAGATAAAGCAAACACTTTCCACATTGCTGAAAATGTAATGAGTATTTGCTGCAAACAGTCAGCAAATACACAGAAGGATTTCTGCCCTTCTTCCCACGTACTCACACGTACAGAGCATAAGCACTCATCTGTTTCCAAAAAGAAAGGTCCTGAGTTTGCAGGAATTTTGACTTTTTACTAGGTATAAGGCAAGGAGGTAGTATTTACCAGAAGATCAGGTAAAAGAGTGATGGAAGGCTACGATGAGAAAATATTGGAAGCAGGTTTCTCAAATGTTATGTGTGATACATAGCAGGTAAAATGAGTGGAGAGAAACTGGGTCATAATCAGTTTTGACGTTAGGATCTTCTGATATTTACATAATAACAACATTCAAGAACCCAGAGAACTTTTCCATGAAACAGTTGTTTAGATACGGTGTTTGATGGACAGCTGTTAAGTAGGAATTATAAGCCATGTTTCTAGGTTAAGCTATACTGCATGATGACTTTCAAAGCAATGAGACAGATACACATTAAGATAGTTATATGCAAGAATTCAAAACGATCCTAGGGCTAAGTTCAGAAATAAACTCCTTTAATTTTTATTAGATGTTAATTTATTGCCTTTATAGTTAACGTAATGAGAAGGATCAGTGGAGGAATCAAAATACCTTCTTTTTAAATCATTTATGAGCTTTCCCTCCTACATATCAATGAAGACAAACAAATATATGCAGGCAACCATAAAATTTCTAAAAATAATCATTTGCAATGCAGAAAACTGCAGGGTGCTTACATTAAAAGTAACTCACAAGTCGAATCTTTAAATTTATACTCAAGAAAAATAACATCAGACCTCAGCAAATAAAGGGAAAGTCCTGAGTTTAAAATATTTCCAAATCATAAAGAAAACTGAGACTCTAAAGTCGATGAATATATTAGTTTGCATAGTTAAAATCTTCTGGATAAAAAGGTATTATCAAAGCTTCTTGGGTGTTGGGATAATATGTGTAAAAATATGCATAAATCTATAAATGAAAGGGGAATATGTCTTGTCTTCGGGATTCTGATGTAGCTAGTGGAAAATTCTATGTTCAGTCATCCTTCTAATCAGCATAAATAACAGTATCCAGTAAAGGCAAGAAGCTTTGAATTTTACATTTTTTTACAGGATGAGTTTCCTATTATTCAAAATTCAATTTATATTTGGTATCAGATGAAATTCTACTGAAGTCTTTGTCCTAATCATAAACAAAAGTCATCCTAAACTCTGACATAGTGAAAATAGTATGACAATAGGTGAGGTCCAATGTCACAGACAAAGAATAGAGGAAATGCATCTAGTACCTAAATATGCTATAACATGTATATTTAAAAATTTTTTGTCATCAGTGCCTTCTTTCTATTTCCATATTAAGGCACAGGATTATAAAGAAAGTCTTTTTTTAGAGCTTAATTTATACGACAGACATGCAGCTAAATGTCAATCATGCTATCGAATTTTATGATGTGACCATGTAAGGTTTTGAAATCAGAGCTGGTTTGGTTGCCAAGGTTACTGTGATAACATTCATGTCACTGAACCCAGGAGCTACTATCCAGATGACCTGTAAACAAGTACAGACAAGACCCTGGGGGTTGAAAAAGAAGAAGTCTTATGAGGATAGCAGTACAATGGCATCACACAATAGAAGTATGCAGGTCTGACCTCTAACTATGCATCAATACCTTCATGAATGAAATGCCAGAAAAAAGCTGGAAAAATAATTCAACGTTCTGTAAACACCTTGCCTCAAAACAATCATAAAGAAAACTGGAAGAAATACTATTTCTGAAGTGTAAAGAACTTACTAGTCAAAATTCTCTGTGTATTGTGCAATGATGTATATTTTGATTTTTTTTATTGTAGTTTCATCTGGTTCTTAGGAGGATATATTTCCCTTGTTTTACACAAAGGCAGTTAAAAAAATAAGATCGCATTTTAACTACCAACTAGTCTTTCATTTAATTCAGGTGTATCTAAATAAAAATGCAAGCCAAGGAAACTAGATTTGCAGATTACACACATAGTCTGCCATAGGAATATAATATCTGAAACGCAATTTCAACCTACAGGCTAAGAATCAATGGACAGAGATGGAGCTGTAGAAAGGTGTTGCTTTGATACAGTCCTTTTGTACATTCTTCCCTCACTACTTATCAGTATCCTTTCTGATATAAACACCTACACAATTAAGTACCTGTTTGAGAATGTCATTTATCCCCTCAAGATTTGAGCCATTTTTTTCCATCTAGTCACAGAAGGCACAAAACCTGCAGCTAAGAATATCTCCAGCTTTAGGCAGAATTCCAAGGAACTAGAGATATTAAATAACTTTTAATCAAAACATTCATTCCTGTGTGGAGACTGTTCAATGTCTGACATAAGCTCATGTTTTAAAATGCCATTCCTGGGACAGATAAAAAGGAAAGAGCAAGTTCTTACAATTCCCATTTCCATGGTTCTGTTACTTTCTTGTGTATGTATTTTAAAGAGTGAGTTTAACAATAATTGGGGAGGGTATGATGAGGACATTTTCACATATTAGGCAGAAGGAACAGTTTAGAAATGACCTCAGGGGTCCTATTTCAGCTGTAAAAAGATTGATAGGATTGAAATGGAATCCTACAGTTATTGGAGCAGAAAGCACAAGGATGTAAGAACAGAACGTAGCGCAGCGGCAGAGCACTGGGTGGAGACGACTCTGGACTGCAGGACTTGAATATTGAGAAGGGGGAGGAAGATGTTTAGAATGTTTATTTTACTGATTTTTACTTGGAAAAATTCACAACTGAGCTGCATGGCTTCATTAGAGAAGCACAAAGAACTAAGAGAGAGCATGGACCAATCGTGTGGACTAAATAAACATGAATTTTTTTTAAAAAAGGAAAAACAGAGGAGTTCTTGTTCCAAAGGGGGAACTATCAATATAATAGTTTCATTTCAGAACTAACATCAAATAATGCCCGTGAAATAATATTTTGATTACTTAACGAAATGATCCAAAGTAAATCAATGTGCTGGAACAATTGGGAATCTCCAGTTTCACAGGGCAACAGGAGGGAGATCAAAAAGAAACTATGTCATCCAAATATGCTGGTGCTGATAAAGCCAAGCTTGGTTGTGTCCATTTTTCTTTAGATATTAAACGAACCAAGAAAGCATTTTTAAAGTTATTTTTCAAGAGGGAACACTGGCCAAAGATAGCATGTGAATGATTGGCAAAGATACTTGGGTAACATAAGAGGGTGCATGCAAAATTGGGACTAATCTTCACTGGAGGATTAAGGAAAAAAAATACATTAGCTTGGCCTAAGCCAGACTTTGAATTGCAGATACCACATATTCTCAAAGCCTGCCTTTACAGTGTCTACAGCAAAGTACAATAAAAGTTGGTGGCAAAAGCAATCAGAAGCTAAACTGATTCTCTAGTGTGAAGCACTAGATTCATCTTTTCAAAAAAATTGATTGAGAAAAGGAAATTGTCATCACACTTTTATGGTTAGGAATGCATTTTCTAAGTTCTAGTAATGGAAATATTCTCTTCCCTTATCCAGGTCTATCTGTATTGTCTCGATTATCCAGCTGTGGGCCTTGGGTTTTCTTAACTGATTAATTGAAAGGATGCTTCTGAAATTATCCTTTATCTACGAGCATCGGATCAAGCCTGTGTGGTATGCAGTGCAAAGGGGAGCAGACTCCATCCAGCCCCCCAGAGAGTAAGAGTGGGCCAAATACCCTTCTTCAATATGCTCAGTTCTGACTGGCCTATGGCGAGACTAATATTTGGTGGTCAAGAATAAGCTAAAAGTTATACTTATTTGAGTTCTGCCTGGGATCCCCTCTTTTTTAACACATAAGTGTACTTTTAAGACTTTTTTTTTCCTCAGCAAGGCAACGCTTTACTTCTGCAGAAGAGTTTTTAAGACTTTTGTATGGTGGTAGGACTTCATTATTATGTACCTATTGCCTACTCTTAGGTTTTTAGGAAAGACTCTCACATCTGTTATATTGACAGAGATCACAGTAACATTTTCATGGGATTTTTTTCTTTGTTGATGGACAGACATTAAGTGTCCTCCTTTGGGGCTTCAAGTTCCTTCTCCTGGCTGATAACTGAGGTAGGTTCTTTACAGAAACATTTTCAAAGCCATTCATGTGGACAACACACTGTTTCATGCAGATAGTCTCTGACAGTGCTATGCAAACAGACACATCAAAACAGCACGGAACAGCTGGGGGTATGGCACAGAAAAGAAATGTATGACGTGTGGCTTGGGAAGGTTTTAGTAGGGGAGCAGCCCAGTGTGTATGAGATGCGGAGGGAGTTGTCAGTGATGGTGCACATGACTTCCTGGAGATGGATGGGTGTGTAAGCTCACACTCATGGAGGATGGAGAGGCCTGTCAGGGAGCACCTAGCAGGAGCTCAGGTTGAGCAGGGCAGAACCATGCAGTGCCCTAGGTTGTGAGCAGAGAAATCAAGTCAATACTTTACCAATAGCAGTGAGGCTTCTTAA